AGAGTAATATCTTTTCCTGCCAAAACATACTGCTCTGTGAGGAATGGTATTATCACTTCAGCATCAGCATTCTCTGTTTAAAAAAAAAAGTGTAAGCAGTTATTGTTTTATTGACACATTAACATTCAAAATTTGTATTTTTCTATTTGGAAGTTATTCTTATAAATCACTTACCCTTAAGAGGAGAAAATATCAAGAGGACCAGGAGAAACATCTACACCAGCAAGAAACAAAAAGGCCTTTGTGACTTTCCTCAACTAGCTCAATTTATGTCTGCTCTGCGTGCTGTTTTGAAATGACTGAACCTAGAGCTCCACCTTCCGGCAGACTGCATGTTAAATTGAGGCTCACTAGTGTAAATTAGACAAATGAAACACATTTTAAACATTAACAGCTTTTTCCTGGATGTTTCAAAAGTTGCAAATAATATATTGCAAGGTTATTGTACAGTAACTTGATGAAAACAATGTTTATATTTTAAAGGGGTCATATGATGCTTTTTTAAAGATCATTATTACCCCTTTAAAGATTGCATGTCTATTTCCATGTCATTGCATGTCTAAGCTTTTTAGTTCAATACAACCTCTTTTAGTTAAAAACACAACTTCCAGAGACTTCCAGTAGATTGGGAGTTCAGAATAGCTCTGGTATTTAGAAATCCAACTGTATAGCAAAGAAAAGGAAACAGTTTTTGTACAGTGCAGTTTGTTTTTCTGTCACTGTGGGCTCTAGGGCACAGTAGTACAATGCAGAGTCTGATACAGCAGCAGAGGAGATCTCCAGATCCACACCATTATTATTACGGAGTCTGATGGACATATGTGGATGAGGTGGAGAAGCTGGAATTACAGTTTTAGTAGACCTCACAAACAGCAGCAGAAACTCCAGGCTTCTGCCGATACCAGTGTAGACTATAAGCTGATCCATCATATGAACAGGACAGAGTGGTGCTGCTTCCTTCAGTTAAAACTACAGATGTTTCATTTGGCCTGTTGACATTCTCACATCTGCAAAGAAAGCCATTTTTGTTATAGCTTTACATTTTAAATTTGCATTGCTTTGATAAATAGCTTATTCTTTCATTAGTTTGAGGTGTAGAATATAAGTGATTGTACTTACTGTAGCTTAGGAGAAATATTAAAAGAGAATAGATGAGAAACATTTTAGTTCTGGATTCTATCAGTATCTGTATGAAGGTAAGTCAGTGTTGTATCTTTGATTTGTTCTGCTGAACTCAAACATTGAGCTCCTCCTACATACTATGTCCTGTCCTTGCTCACTTCAGGCAAAGGAAAGGAATAGTTTCTACCATTATACCAATTTAAATGTTTAGATGAGTATTGTTATGTTTTTATATCAGACCAACACAGACAATATAGCAATTATTTTGTCAAAGCTACAGCTTTCTGACTGAAAGAAAATAGAGTAAGTAAATAAATATATAAATAAATAAAATAGTTGAATAAAAGTCAAGTATCAGTTAATGGAAATAATTTGTCAGCCAGCCTATGAGCTTTGAAATGTTAAGCTATACCATTGGCAAGATTTTGTGCAGAGGAAAAAGGTTTCCTGTCACTGTGGGCACCAGGGCACAGTAATACTGTGCAGAGTCTGATACTTTAGCAGGGCTGATTTCCAGTTCCATGAGCTTTCTGTGTTTGTCAACTTTAGCTGATAACCAGTGGGCTGATGGATCGGCTTTAACTGGATCTCCAGATTCAGTCATGGAGAGAAGGAGTTCTGGTTTGGATCTGTGATACTGACGATACCACAGTAGATTATAAACAACACCAGTGTAGTTGCAGTAGAGAGTAACACTGTTACCATCTTGAGCTTGTATTTCAGAATCATGAGAAGTTATTAGATCCCCAAGAGAGTCTCCTGTCAAGCAAATATGTATTCATAGATATGTATAAATCATTTAAAATGTTAATGAATTACATTTTTATATGAAGAATTAATATGGAAAGAAAAGCATTCTTACCTGCAAGTGCTGAAAGGAACAATAGTAAATAGGCCCACATAATGATGTTTTAACTAACAGAATGACAGCACACTTAGATGTCAGGAATGAAAATACACTCTCAAAGAGCTCCTCCTACTGACAGCATTGAAGGATTACATAAGTTTTATTCTACCCCCAACAGCAGGGATGGGAAACAAAAATAATTCAACAGCACCTTTTCAAATTTATCTCTCAGTAGTTTAGATGTAACTATGTGATTGTTTCACTACAAAAACTGACTAATTCATCCAGGAATCAGACTATACTGATTGTACTTTTTTGATTTACTAAAAAGAACCCGCACATAAGAGTTATTTGTTCTTTAACCTGAATATGTAATGGCTTTTTTGTGTGATAGATAGATAGATAGATAGATAGATAGATAGATAGATAGATAGATAGATACACTGAACAAAATTATAAACGCAACACTTTTGTTTTTGCCCCCATTTTTCATGAGCTGAACTCAAAGATCTAAGACTTTTTCTAGATAGATAGATAGATAGATAGATAGATAGATAGATAGATAGATAGATTGATTGATTGATTGATTGATTGACTTTTAACGAACCAGTTCTGAATGAGAAGCATCAGTTCTCGGTTTGCAAACCCCATTGATCAAACACGCTCCTATTCTTTAAGGGGTTATTAAGAATGAATTTGATTATTGAGAGTTAGGGATGCACCGATACCACTTTTTCCAGTACTCGCCCGATACCGATACTTTTATTTTTGGTACTTGCCGATACCGAGTACTAGGGGTTGCACCGACTAATCCATTAGTCGACTAGTCGACTTCAATGCTCTGCCATGACACTTTAAAGGGGTCATATGATGCTCTTTTAAAGATCATTATTTTGTGTATTTGGTGTAACAGAATATGTTGACATGCTTTA